TAATGATATAGACATTATGTGATATCACAATTAATGCTTTGCATCCATGAAATTGAATCACAATGTCATTGTATTAATTCATAATAAAAATTAACGTCAAACGAGTTGTAGAATTTCTCTGTTTAAAAAGCTCAAAGTGTATGTATATACGCCAAAATGTCGATAGAGACCATGCGGAAGGAGGGGGGGGGGAGATACATATGGCTCGTACATATGTAAAATAGCACGAAAACGTGTTTGCAGCCGTCAAATATTCTAAATTTTCTTGGGGGGGGGGGGGGGTCCATACGAGGCAAGCTATGCTTCTTCGCCTCTCGAGGAAGACTGGCGCCGCTGTCTGTAAACCCGAAATTTTTTCGGGCATTTCGGGTTCTGCCCCCCTAACTGTCATCGAGCCCGTACGCCTATATGTATATATATATGGATATAGCTGATCAAAAGGTGATACCGTAGTTATACTGAATAGACCCCAGTTTTATATCAACATGAAATGAAATGAAATGGGGTTTAACGTCCTACTGTTCTGCTCCTATGCTGGGCTATCGAAGACGGGCATACACCATACAGTGTGCTATGAGGGAAATTTTGCCCGGGCAGCGGCACTATCGCCTACTCTTATATCGAATTCCAACTGCCAAGGGATCTTTTACAGGCATTCCAATGTATACACGGGACCTCGGTTTTTCGTCTCAACCGAACGACTAGACAGCTGTCCTTGTCAGGCCCTCCGTCCTGCATCACTGACAAGGGCGAACCTCGCCGGAAAATCTGGACGAACTTTCTCGGCCAATGCAGGGATCGAAAACCCGACCTCCAAGCTAGCGAGCCAGCGTCTTACCCACTTAGCCACCGTGACCCCCCCTACACCATTTCAAATTGATTAGCAATGAATATTCGCTAGGCCACTACAACACTCAAAGGGGTGACAGTGGTGCGGGTTAATCAGTTCGCAATATTTACCTTTAATCCAGCGTTATAAGAAGGCTTTCGCAATACCCCTGTGAAACAGATTGACATTATATTTCAGTGACAATTCACGAGATCTTAACAGGTCTTAAAATTTTAGACTGATGAGGAAATCCGGGGCCTCATGACAGGTCGTAACTTTTTTGGTTTACGACTGAATCCGGGACCTCATGACGGTTGTTAAATAAACCCACAAAAAAATGAGTTATATTAGTTCCAGTTGACTGTTTAATGGTTCCCATAAAATAAATATGTTGATTTGTATTAAAGATATATTCCCGCGTGCAAACTGGGTGATTTAATGGTATATAATTTGTCATAATTTTGCTTCAAATCCTTCTCAAACATTGCAATTGCCAAGGAATGCCCTGCTATAAAAATTCGATCAAACCAGGTCATGTTTAAGTCACGTGACTTACCTCTCTCGGAAGTCAAAGGAGAATTCATTGCATACATAAGACGATGTTGTCTTTAATCACGTACTATTTATTACAAATATCGAATCCTAATTAAATTCTCGGATTATCCACAACCCGCGTATTTTCCCGTCATTTTTATCTCCGAAAGTGTTGTACGTCTAACTCTTCATAAAGTTTATCAACTTGTACATCACGCGTGCAGAAATTCCTAATCGCCGGGCTGTCGATTAGGGGAACCCTTACATTTTTGTCCTATATATGCTCCATGAGTGTTTTTCGGGGAATCCAGTATTTTTCTAGTAAGATTGGATATCTCTACTTTCCATATATACCAAATTGCCATACTTTTATTAGAAATAACTACCCGATAAATACTTTTCTGGGAACCCATCTTTAATGTCATTTCTGTAATTGTATGCGGCTCCTCGTGGGCGTTTTTATGCAATAAATTTACTTACTTATTTTCTTTAGCTCAATTTTCGTCAAGGTCACTGAGATGTAACTAAGATTAGGGCAGACGATTGTTGGCGAGAGTAGGTTAGGGCTAGGGCTAGGTCCAGGGTTAGGGTTAGGATTAGCGCTAGCTAACTTGAACAAACTTGAAGTTGGCCTTACCAATTAGATCTAACCCTTCACTAGCTGAGTCGCTGTATAAAAGTATAGACCGTTTAACCCCATTTCCATGTCTCGAAAATGAAATATCACTATAAATCTTTCCTTCAACCCAGTTCAACCCAGTCGGAGCAGAACAGTAGGACGTTAAACGCCATTTCATTTCATTTCTTTCCTTTAAAAAATTAGATCACGAAGGACCACGCCATAGATACCACATTCTTAAACATCGTTATATTCATGTGGTCATTTACAAAACAAACAAAATTCGCTATTGATATTAGCTTTACCTTTATATTTCCCCGATAGGCGCGTTTTTAATTAAATAGACAAACTATTTACCAGGAAAATACTTTTGTTACCAAAACCACTATATCTGTCGAGAGATTTAAAGGAATACCTTTCCATAATATTATACAAACTTTTAACACAGCCTCCATAATGTATAAACTCATACGAGACGATGAATAGACGAGTATTGCATAGCGGGGTTTCGACCTACTCTTATTTCAATCTCCGTTTGTCAGGGGATCTTTAACATGATATCGATAGTCTACTACGGGACATCAGGGGTGGATCCAGGAATTTTTGCAGGAGGGGGTTTGCCAGGTTCCTGAGACAATGCATCTCATTTGAGGGAGGGAGGTCTCCCCCCCCCACCCCCAGTTGTAAACATTTTTGAGAAATATATGGTTTTCTATCGTCATTTTGGCGTACATTGGGGTAACCAGAGGTCAGTTTGACAAAACACAGAAACTGGGATGTTGCATAAAAACATACTACGCTACCATACATACACACTGGGCTTTTTAAAGAGAGAAATTCTATACCCCGTTTGATGTCAATTTTTATTCAAGTTCACTGATGCAAAGCATTAATTCTGATATCACATATGTCTATATCATTATCTCGCGCCTTTGTAATACTATTTTGTAATGCGATTCTCGATCCCGGCATTGACCGAGAAAGTTCATCCAGATTTTCCGGCGTGGTTCACCCTTGTCAGTGATGCAGGACGGAGGGCCTGACAAGGACAGCTGTCTAGTCCTTCGGATGAGACGAAAAACCGAGGTCCCGTGTATACATTAGAATGCACGTAAAAGATCCCTTGGCAGTTGGAATTCGATATAAGAGTAGGCGATAGAGCCGCTGCTCGGGCAAAATTTCCCTCGTAGCACACTGTATGGCGTATGCCCGTCTTCATTAGCCCAGCATAGGAGCAGAACAGTAGGACGTTAAACCCCATTTCATTTCATTTCATTTCATTTTGTAATGCGGCTCTACTCTTTTTCACATCTGTCATACACAGTACACAAAGACTGAATAAACCTTTTCCATTTTAATAAATGAAAGCGAAATATATAAATGCTTATCAAAATTCTCGAAGTATAAGCTTTTCGACAAAAATCGTCGATTTGAGAATTAAAATGTCGATCAACTAGCTTAGTGTTTGTTCTCTAGTGGAGCTAGTTGTAGAGGCGTACGCTTAGTATGTTTATCTGTTAGACATGGAAACATTACTGCTAATGTGGTTCGTTCGTGCTGTTAGTAGTATTGACAGTGCGTTTTGGATCAAATTAACGAGCCCCCCCCCCCCCCTCACCACCACCCCCGTCACACCCCAGGACGTTTAAAAGCATATTCAAAGCAATGGCATTTTTTTTTCAGTCTTTCGTTAAAATTACATGGTGAAACCGCCGAAAACCGATGGTTAAATATGGACTCTATCCGAAGGCTGCATCCGGGACATTGCTCTAGATTTAGTTGACAACAGATTCGATTATCTTAGGGAGAAAGGAATTACGGATATGATTTGTTGTCTTTGTAATCCAGATTTAAATAAAATTGTTTTGTTGGTGTAAAGGTACCAGCAATTACAGATGAATTGTGTAAGAGCTAAATCTGATTATTGCAGGTCTTTGTTTTGGCCTCACATGTTATATAAACTATTAATTAGACATGTATTATCATGGCCAGCCCGTAATCAACTCTTTAGACAGTCGGATGACAGAGATTTAAATAACATTCGAAATTAAAAGCACGAATTAGAAGTTCAATATTGGTCCATTTCAATTAAAGGCTCAATACCAATCTTGTTGTAACTGAATAATATGCCCCAATCTTTATTCTGGTCAACAAATTGTACTATTTTACAATATTCCAATTAATTGATGATACAAATTTCATCTTAACACACCTAATTTAAAAAATTGGAAAAGTTCAACTAAATGATTTGAAAAGCCTAACGTAAACCTTTTCAAATGTGACTTGGATTTAAAAATATTTTCGAACCCTCTAGACAAGTAAAATAGGATTTAATGGATAATTTACACAACAGGCAGGGCACTTAAACATCTAATACGTAGAATAAGGCTATTATTTATTTTCTGGAGCTGCCAAGTCAGCAAGAGTGTTATTGTCCCTTTAATACCTTGCCCTGAAAATATAGGAACCTAATATCCAAAGAGAATTTAAGACATATTGGACATTTTATAATCAGTACACGAGTCGTGTATTCTATGGTTTTGCGCGTCATTTGTACCGAATAAAGAAAAACATATCCTACAACACAATGCGGAAGTTATTAATAATGACTGATTCACTAACAAAATAATTATTTAAAAAAAAGTGTAGACTGGATTAAGCTAAGCAGGCGTAAACGACAGTATTCAATAAAGTTGGACTGTTCACGTATTTCACCGAACATGATTAGAAATAACAATAATTCCTTTTTTGAAACTGCTACACATTAAATATTTAAAGGGAAGTTATTTTCTCATGGTCCAATTATATAACTGAAGCTTTGGTGACTGGAGTACTAATACAGCCTTCCATTGTTATTATTAATAAATTAATCATCATAGAATTCGTTATCTTTAAGCTGACATGGGTGGGCTTAACTTCCTGCATGTTGCTACACGATTATTTCGCAACCGTTAAAAGGGCGTGTTTGTACTGTGAGTACGGTAAATGGAATAACTGACTGGCAGCTGTATGCAGTGACTATAACGGTATCAGCTAGTATTCCACACGCGACAGAGATCATACACAGTGTATAGGCGTTTCGTTTTTCTCATTCATTAATAACCTCAAATAACGAACAAGCATCGTTCGATACACGATATCATCACGGGGAAAGGTTATACTCCACCGGGCTTAATATTACTCTCCCTGAACACAGATATCAAATATACCCCAGTAATATCGGCGTGTGATTCATCGCGCACTCAGCACCATCTTTCCGCTATGGCTAAGAACCTAACATCAAGGGCAGCCAACATAATATGGAAGCACGTGTCCGGTAAGTTGATCTTTCTCTTGATATTAAATTTGATTTTATTAGTAATAATTAATTGTAATGTTTTATTTGAATGTGAACGTGTGAAAACGTAAATGAAATAAATGGGTGGTTATCTCCTGGTATGTGCCAGAGGCCTAGATCAAAGAATTTCTTACTCTACACAGCGGTTCCACAGCAACATGTCCAAAGACGATTGGCTGAAATATGTCGTCTGCTTCGTTCTTTATCATTCATTATCCAGTCTGATTATTTCAATGGGAAATGGACCAACGAAGCGGGAGTGGTGGGAGTTTTTTTTTTTTTTTTTTTTTTTAAATCTTCTCTTAATTCGCTAGATACGCTACTAAATCAGTGATGTGCGCAATGTTATATTACATAAGATATTTATTTCAAAAGATAATAATAAGGTATTTTATTGTATGAATTACACGCCCACAAAAGACAGCTGTACAGGCTACAACAACAAAGAATGTCGGTTATATGACAATAGGAACTCGATATAGGATAATAATAATAATAATACAAGTGGTGTAGGAAGTAAAAAATAAACGAATTATAAAAAACATGACACAATTACAAGACGACACTTGGGAGTTTTACAATATTTACGAGGGTATACTTGTTACACAATGACCGAACACTGAACCCTTTTAGGTTTTGTGTTCAATGACTGAGATCTTACAATAGACGAACACGCGACATTTATGGGATTGGTTAACCCAAATACACTCAAATACACTCAAATACACCCAAATCAGGCTGCGGAAGGGGGGGGGGGGGAAGCGGCACAGTCTACAGTAGTTATTTTAGAGCTATGGTCGACAACTTTTTTTTGGGGGGGGGGGGCAAAACATTTTTTCAGGGCGGCATTTCCCTCCCTTGCGCCCCCCCCCCCCCCTGGCTACGGGCCTGACCCAAATACACCATCAAACTATCCAAATCTACTAATATTTCAATTTATATCATATTAAATTACTATCATATTTTGTTATTGGAATGTTACTGAGGAAAAAGAAATATAATTCTATTAAGTGAAATTTTTATACATGTTCAGATTTTCCTAGATTGTTTGGGTGAATAATGGAATGACCCTCCAACTTTTCTGTAAGGAACAATGCCTGGACAGCAGTTCTGCAGTCTCGTCTCATTTTGAATTCCAATTGTCAAGATATCAATTTGTACACAGGACCCTACTGTTCCTTGCTGGGATCTAACCCACAGGGACCTTCTTGATAGTGACCAAGTGCCCTTTTTGACTGAGCCACTGTGACACTGGCTTGCTGGTTCATCGGAATTTTCCAGGGTGGTTTACCCTTGTGCAGGACGGAGGGCCTGCCAAAGACAGCTGTCTAGCCGTTTGCATGGGACGCAAAACCAAAGTCCCGTGTACACATTAATGTGCACGTAAAAGATCCCTTGGCAGTTGGAATTCGATATAAGAGTAGGCCATATTGTTGCTGTCCGGGCAAAATTTCCCTCATAGCACACTGCATGGAGTATGCCCATCTTCCTTAGCCCAGTTGAAGCAGAACAGTAGGACGTTAAACCCCATTTCATTTCATTTCTGTGACTCCCCAACACAATGCTAATTATAATACAATTTAGAATAGATAAACAAATTTAGAAATGTGTTCAATCAATGCATCGACGAACTGAAAAATACAACGAATGTATCACATTTTTTATAAAAAAAAATCCCTCAAATGGAAATTTTAGAAATTAAATCGAATCATTCTAATATTAGCAGAGGTCGAGCAATTATACTTTTTATACGCCCACATTTTCATGTGGACGTATATTGTCGTTGCCCCTGTCCATCCGTCCGTCCGTCCACAATTGTTTGTGAACAGTCTACAGGTCACAATTTATATCCGATTTCAATGAAACTTGAAATACAGGTTTATCACCTGAAGATCTCGGTTCCTTTTGATATTGGCATGTATCGATTGGACTGTAACTTCATGGATTATGGCCCCTGATTGTACGAAAAATCACGTTTTTAGCTTGTGAACACTGTAGAGGACACAATTTTTATCCGATTTGGTTTAAACATGAAATGTAAGTTTATAAAAAATCATGTTTTTAGTTTGTGGACCCCGTAGAGGTCACAATTTTTATCCGATTTAAAAAACCGTTACAATATATCACCGTTACACCCTAAGGATGGTTGAGTTAAAATTATTGTGTATCAGGGTTGTGGACCCTCTGGAGGTCACGATTTTCATTTGATTTTGATGTTTATAACTAACAGATCTCGGTTCCTTTCGATATTCGTGCATATCGGAACATAACTTCCTGAATTATGGCCCCTGATTGTACGAAAAATCGCGATTTTAGCTTGTGGACCCCATAGAGGTCACAATTTTTATCTGATTTAAAAAAACTGCGAAGGGGCAGTGAAGTTTTTAGGGGGGCACACCCGGCACAGTCTACAGTAGGTATTTTAGGGCTATGGGCCTGATTACATGGATTAACATACATATGAATGAAGCATTTAATTCAAATTCAACACTGACTTAGCAACTTGTCATGTTATCAAAATAAAACTGTATAAAACAATAATAATGATATATATTTAGCGTGAACTTGCCTGGGAATATGGGAAAAATAAGTCAAATTACAGAAACAAATTTAAAGTTTACTACACAAATTATTTTTAGGACCAGAGATGGTCAAAAAGCACTCGGCAACCTCTTCATACTTAGACCATCAAAAAAATCACATGAAAATATTCATTTGCCCCTCTGATAGACAGATTTGAATATTAAAATAATGCTTTTTTATTTTATTGTTTAATTACTTTTAAAGACAGGGGGAAGTGGGGGATCCCATAAGAGAAAAAAAAGAAAAATGATATTGTGATCAATAGATGTCATCTGCTCCATCAATTTGATTTTTTAAAAAAAGATTTAATATAGAATTTTTTACCGGTTTTTACACTCTACCATGAGATAGGCTATTTTCGGGCTGGTTGGTTGTGTAGCAATATTGTCATTGCGCCATTGTTTTCAATTTATAGGCAAGGAATAGAGAAATAAGATGACTTTATATTTCATTAATTAATATACTATTCAAAAAAAGTAGGGGATATTTGATTTTTAAGTGTTATTAAAGTCACCTAATGAAACTGACGAAGAAACAAATGACAAAATGAAATGAAGTTCACATTCATCGATTTATTCCAAATGATCGTTAGACTAAGTAAGGCACAGACTGACCATTATAAGGGTAAAATGATACCCGGGGTCAAACAGCAAAGTTACCACAGCATCACAACCAAGTCAGTAACGGGTAAATCCTCCTCTGTTTGCCAAACAAGCATTGATCCAACGTGGCATACTCCTAATGAGACGTCTAAGGTCATTTTGGTCCAGATTGTCCCATTCCTGTTGCAACGCAGCAGCAAGTTCTTGGACATTGGCAGGACGTTGTTGACATTGACGTAACCTCTGTCCAAGCATGTCCCAGACATGCTCGATGGGGGAGAGGTCGGGACTCAGTGCTGGCCAAGGTAATGTGGTGATGTTCTGTTGTTGGAGGTAACCTGTAACGATCCTGTACCTGTGACATCTTGCGTTGTCATCCTGGAAGATGAAACGGCGGCCATGACGTCGTGCGAACGGCACAACATGGACTGCCAAGATGTTGTCCCGGTAGTACTGGCCTGTAACACGCCCTGCAACAACATGTAAAGCCGTTCTTCCAGCAACAGTGATGCCTCCCCACACCATAACAGAACCACCCCCAAATCGATCATGTCTGATGACGTTAACGTCTTGGAAGCGCTCGTTTCGACGACGCCACACCCTCCTACGTCTGTCCAAAAAATCAACAGTGAACCTTGACTCATCTGAAAACATCACATTGCTCCAGCGTCGATTATCCCAGTGTTGACGATCCCTACACCAACGACGTCTTGCCTGAATGTGATGATCTCTCAAACAAGGGATCACGCGAGGACGTCGGGCGCGAAGGTGACCCCTATGCAGTCGATTCCGAATCGTCTGGCCACTCACTCTCACACCAGTGTCTGTTTGAAGACGAGCGCTGATCTGATTTGCTGTGATGACACGATTTCTCAAGGCTAAGGTACGGATAAATCGATCCTGGGCTTGAGTTGTCGCCCTTGGTCGACCTGAGCGTGGTCTGTCCTGTACAGATTGTGTATCACGGTATCTGGACCATAGCCTGCTTATGACAGACTGAGAAAAATTCATCGTCAGCGCCACAACCGCCTGTGTTGTGCCGATCTGTAGCATGCCAAGGGCACGTAACCTTTCATTTTGGGTAAGCCGACGCATATCAAAATTTGTTTTCTGGTCACTAAAACAATTAAACTGATGTTTCCACCCTGGAATTCAATGCCACAATGACTGTAACATTCAAAGTCAGAGTCGTGCAAATCTTGGGTTGGACCCCCATGATGATCCCAAGCATCACCTGCATTCCATGCGGTAGCTATTGGTGCGTTTGGGCGTCACATGTAACTGGAAATGTTTCTTCTGTTAGGTTCTATAGTGACTTTTTTCGTAGTCATTTGCATATTTTAGTATTATGCCCCCAAAATCAAATATCCCCTACTTTTTTTGAATAGTATATATTTGGCAAATTAATAGTTTTACACATATTCACATATATATTATATATAGTGTGTACTTAAATCAACTTAGGGTATAAATAACATATTGTTATATAAAAAAAGAGTTATTTAGCCAAAACATGTGTCTATAAAATATCACGAGATATCACGTGCATGGAAATTTACCATTGCATCATTTGGCTTAATTTAACCAATCATATCGTTAATTGCACAGGTTCAGGGCCATGATCACACTTGATTGTGTATGATATCCATAAGTTCTATAAAAGAAATCATAGTAACCTTTTAAGGCAGACTTCCATTAGATTTCAGAGAGGTTCCATCTGAGTTCCTAGACAGCTGCGAGGCTGGCTAGCGTGGAGAAATGGTTTTAGCTAGTATTGTTATCTATTATGCTTGT